TACTGGCAAAAGTAATCTATACACATAATATTATTTTTAATAAACACTTAATCTTTAGTAGTAAGCCTAAAGACCTAATAGATAACTTTATATATAACATAGTAAAAAAAATTACTACATATATTAGAATAATTAAGCTTCTAACACTTAGTTATTAGCTAAAGACAGAGTTATTTTATAAAGACAACACTGCAGATAATACATTAAATTTTAACAAAGTAGACCTACTAGGCTACTATTAAGGAAAAAAGATTAGAGATAACTATCTGTCTTCTCTAAACACTCTACTACCTGCAGCATTACTTATACAGTTAATAGCTAGAGCAGCACTAAAGCTAAGCTAAATAGAGTTGTTAAAGACTATACTATAAGCTGCAGCCTTTATAGCTAGCATAAGATCTAGAAGTGTAGAAAAGCATAGCAGCAAAACGCTAGATAAAGCAGCATTAATAAAAATGCTATTTAAAAGAAAGACACCTTATAAAAGCTAGCTGCTACCTCTACTATTAACCTAAAAGTAACTAGAGGAGCACCCTTTACATAAGATGTTTAAGGCAGCAGAAAGAACACACCTAGATAGTTATTAAACAATAAAATTCTAAATAAAGGTCTAGATAAAGCTAATTAAGGCAGCTAGACAGCAGATCCTAGATTATATGTAGGTGTACACTTATAAGCTTAATAAGCACTACAGATTATAAAGATGTAAGGCGTAACTAGTAGTCTGCAGTAATTAATAAAAAAACATTACTACACAAGATACCTACGCTGCCACCCTAGCAAGACGCTTATTTTAAATGCTAATAGTAATATCTGCATGCTTTAACCTAGAGCTTAAATAATATAACATAACTAACGCGTTTATACATGCAGCAATTAACTGCAATATCTACATGCAGATGCTAAGAGGCTATTAGAAACTAGGTATAATACTAAAGCTTTAAAAAGCACTATATAGCCTACAAATTTTTTCTCTACTTTAGCAACACTATTTTATAATAACTCTTAAAGGCCTTAGGTTTTTAGCTGTTCTACATAAACCCTACTACATAACTAAAGCTAGAATATTTGTCTTTTTTTATGTAGATAACCTTATTGTTGTGTACAGAAAAGGCTCTAAAGCAGATGCACAGCGTGTAGTAGACTAGTTACAAGAGAAGTATACCCTAACAGGAGGCAAGGACCTATAATAGTTCCTAGAAGTTAAGATTATTAGAGATTAATAGCAACAAATAATTTAGCTATTATAGGCTTTATATATTAATAAGATAGCTAGGCTAGCTAACAGAAAGGACCTGCAGCATGCTACACCTATAAGTAGGATTAAACTTATGCTGCAATCTAGTTTCACAACCCTATTAGAAGTAAATTAATATTAGCAGAAAATTAGATCTCTGCTCTTTACAGCAGTTACTATAAGACTAGACATTGCCTTTACTACATTACACCTTGCACAGTTTCTCACAAATCCTGCATCTAACTATTAGGATGCAGCTAATTAAGTTATCCTATACCTACATGCGACACACACGTACGCACTCTAATTAGGAGGAGAAGACTACCTTATAGTAGTAAGCAATGCGTTATTTGCAAATAATACACTAAATAAAAAAAGCTCTTAGAGCTACATTATTTAACTATTTAGCAGATAGATTGCATAGCAAGTAAATAAACAAGATATAGTTACAATGTTAATAATAGAAGCAGAATTACTTACACTGTCCTAAGTTACTAAGGAAGCTATGTTTATAAGAATGCTTCTTAACAAACTGTAGGTTAAGCTGCCTAATTTAACTATTATAATCTAGTGCAACAACAAGCAGACAATCTAACTAGTAAACAAAGAGATATCTTAACTTTAAACTAAGCTCTGACATGTTAACATCCATAACTACTAGCTCTGACAGGAAGTCTCTTAACAAACAATTAAGGTTGTCTATGTCCCCTCTAGCAAGATGCTTGCAGACAGACTCACTAAAGCGCTTCTAGCCAGCAAATGGCCAAGCTTTCTTCAGCAAATTCGGCTAGTTGACGTCAGGGAGAGGATAGTCAGTCAGGAAGCGGATATGGAAGAGATTGAAGCAAGAATGGAAGCCCTGGAAGCATACTAAGGTTGCGCAATCGGGAACCAGCTTAAAGCATGTCCAAGCTGAGGGGGTGTGTCAGATATGCGCACCTACTGTCAAGACAGGAGGAACGTTTGACGAAAGCTGCTACATAGTACGAGCAATAAGCTCGAACAGTATGTTGCTGCAAATTGCAGCATTTTGCAGCATTTTGCAGCATGTTGCAGCAAATTGCAGCAAATTGCAGCATGTTACAGCATTTTGCAGCAAATTGCAGCATGTTGCAAGCTGGTCGCGCATAGGGCTAGTTCGCGAGGGACTTGGATCGGCAGAACAAAAAGCCGAGCAACACGAGTAGAGCAGAAAAAGGATTGATAAATCAACACAATCAATACAATTAATCAATCATCCCATACATCATATCAAAACCCATCATTTATCTCAGGAAGCCTAGAAACAGTGCTTAAATCTAACACTCTTACAGTTTATAGTATTATCTCAGCAAGCTCAGACGAGATGCGGAGAGAGCCTCGACAGGGGCAAGCCCCTGCTAGTAGCCTTAGTGGCGCAAGCCCCATCTCTCTAGCTAATAAGGGTGTAAGAAAGGCTTTCTCTCCCTAGCTGTCTAAGGGACTTTTGTGATTTTTTAGGTGATATTGTGGTTCTAAACCTCCTCCACTATGCACTAGCTTAACTAAGAATTACTGTAGCTCTACCACTTTTTGTCCAAACCAGGTTAGATTTTAATAGGTAATAGAGACAGTCTCTAGCTATATCCTAACATTTTTGTAACCTAATTCTAACAAGATTTAGCAGAGTATTGCGCTATTAAGTCCTGCGCAGGACATTTTAATAACCCCACAACTACACCTTAATGCAACTCTCTAACTACATAATATATCATCTTTAGAATTTAAGACCTGTCTAAGACAGGCTCTATTAGGGAGCCTGCAAAGTTTTAGGATATCTAGGCCGCTGGTTGTCAAGCTGGATAGTAGGCTAGGGACATCGCGATCGCTCTCATGTCTGCAGCTCAACTAGCTGTTGTCTGAGGACTCTGAGGATCTAGGAGCTGTCTCAGACTAGCTCTGCCAGGGATCCTGCAAAATTCTAGGGAATTTAGTCTACTAGTTGTCAAGTTCTAGTCAGGAGGGCGATACTATTAATCTGAAATTAGGGTATAGATAGGTTAAAGTTCTGCCCGCGTTTAGATTTTTCTCTACTAATAATAGTTAGAATCTAGTAAAAAATATACTATTTTATAGCTACAGCTTGTCTCTACATTCTATTAAATTCTAAGCCTCTTCAGACATATAGTAGTAGAGATATTGTAAATCTAATTCTATTGTGATGCTTTTAAAATAGGCCTATTTATAGAAAAAATTACAAAAGTCCCTTAGACAGCTGAGGAGAAAAACGCTACTGACAGGGGTCAGAAACCGCTAACCCCCAGGCCATACTCTATTTGGAGTAGCAATATGCATGGTGGTTTGTGCGTCCTCGGTTCTCTCCTCACGTCTGAGCTAGCTGAGATAATCATAGTAGCCCCTGAGCTCTCTTCATCTCCTTAGATCTTACAATACACTTATTCAATTCACCTAGTTTAGATCTTAATAACTTATTAACTCGCTCGCCTCTATAGCCCCGCTCAACTCCTGCAAGCACCTATTGTCGCATTTCTAGTACAGCCCTCACTGCCCCTGCCATCATAGATGTAAATAAATACTCTGTAACAGACCACTTAGACTTAAACCAATACACTTCACTTTATCAGCTTTCTACATAGCTGCATGCTTACACCACCTCTCCATTTGCAACACCTATAGCTTTATAAGGTAAAGGCTAGCGGGGATACTATCTGCTGGTCCTCATTAAAAGCAGGCTGCCTGCGGCATGGTGCCTTGTGCATCGACTGCTGTAGTTGTTGCGGATGCTCAGGCAGGTTAGGACGCTCTTACCGGATGTAGCCCAATGCGGCTACAGAACGCCTTTCTCCGTTAATTATTTAATTAAGTCAATCAAAATTCTAAGCGCCACTTAACTTTATTGCTAATTTAGTAGAGCGATGATTGACTTCATTGAATTGACAACAAGCAATTAAAACAAACAAAAGCCATCAAGTTTCTTGCTTGTTGACAAGTCTAGCAAAGGTAAGTTTGACGGGCAAAACCCATCCACGACGTGCATCGGATAGTAGCATTACGAGGTGTTAAAGCATGTTTGCTAGCAACAAGACAAGACGGATAGTTTTTAAGGTAGGAATTTGGGCTAATATATGCGCCCGTTCGCAAACAGGAGGAACAAGCAGGCTTGCATTATAGCGCTAACCAATCAATCGGTCCGCGCCAGCCGCCTACGGACACCTGAGACAAGTCCATTAGATGGCTTGTGCACAAAAGTTGAGCTACCGTCCGGGGTTAGGAGCCTGAGCTCGGCGGCGTCGCGGGAGCCAAAACCAAGTCTAGCTAGGCATTATTCCACTCCATCAAAGAATGCGTTAATCTGACAGAGCATTAATGTCTCTATGAAGGGGGTGTCACCCTGCTTGTGGGCCTTGGAGTGGTTGAAAGCATAATTCTGAACCTAGCTCTCGCTACCTCCTTGGAATTCTTGCTTACTTGGTTTGAGATGGACAAAAAGTTTCCCCTCTCTCTGGCTCAGGTGGATCTACGACAAGGTCTTAGGAGAGCGACTAAAAGAACTCTGGGAACGCATCTAACCTGTGCCTAATAGGTTTTGATCCGATTATGACGGAGCCTGATAGATCTGTCATGTGATAATGCGTATTGGACGACGCTCTTAGATGGCCGACAAACAATAGATGTAGAATACTTGATAAAAAAAATAAAAACATTAAAAATTAAATGTTCTAGAACGATTCGAATGTGGAGTTTGGGCGAGCATGAACTAGTGATACACCAGCGATTTTTCCTTTCATGCCTTTGTAAGAATATGCACTCCTGTGCTTCCTTCTACGATAACTTTCTGCCACAGTCCACTTTTATCAAGCTTCCTCGTCAACTTATCAATGTTCTCCTCTTTCGATCCATTCGTATCAACCTATATTCATCAGCCTCTTGTTCTCTCCATGTGGAATGTTCGATACGTACATTTATTAAAATGCCACGCTGATGATACACATCTTTGACTGCTATAGTCTCCGCCTCGTATTCTACGAAACGTCTTTCAAACTTCTCCTTGCTGTCATTGCTATCTCGTGCTCGGGAGATATATCTTGCCCGCGCATTTTGCTTGGTGACTTCGAGTGATAGCACAATGTCCGGTTTTGCATTTGGTCTCACCTCACTATCACTGATTGGACAAAGTGGTAGTTTGTCTTCAAACGGCCATACGCTGAAGGATTCCAGTTGCTCTAAGCATCGAGGAAATCCATCAACTAGAATGCCTTTGGGTTTTGGTTCATCTTGGTAGATAGCTTCCATAATCGCCTGACAAAGAAACGGATTCAAGTCTTCAGAGCTAAGAAACCCCTGATTATCGAGTTTGTCTTGGATTTGGGCCGCGAGCGATGTGCCGCGATTTTTGTGCATCCAACTACGTAGGTTATCGCCAACAGAGTAGTGTGTAAGGTTATGTATCTGTGCGAGATGCGCACACAGTGTCCCTTTTCCAGCGCCAGGGGCTCCTAAAATTTGGTTAGAGAAGACGGAGTAAATTGGACGATCTAAAGGAGAGGTACCAAGGACGAAGATGATCGCAAAGCAGCGAGAGCCCTTGCCTAGGGTCGGGGTGGTACTCTCCATAAGTGCTGTTAGGTCTGTACAAATTCTCGCAAAGAGGTTACTGCCGTTGTGGGCTTGCTGAGATCAAACTGTGTTTTAGTGTATGGGGAGTTGGCCTTGTACTTATAAGCAAGTATAGCGCGAGTATGCAGGTTAGGAAGGTTCTGAGACCCTCTAATGTGGCCTGTGGCAATTTGTCCAAGGCTCCCTCTTCGGGTTTAGCGCAGTCCCGCGCTTATGCATATCGTGCATCGCTCTTCGCCCCACCCCCCGATTTTTTATCTCAGCTAGCTTAGCCGGGATGATGAGAGGATTAACAAACTACCATGCATAGTGCTACTCTAAACAGAGTATAGCCTAGGGGCTAGCAGTTTCTAACCCCTGTAGCTAGCGTTTCTCTTATTAGCTGTCTAAGAGACTTTTGTAATTTTCTGTATAAATCAGCCTATTTTAAAAGCAGAATAATAAAATTAGATTAACAATATCTCTACTACTGTATATCTAAATAGGCTTAGAATGTAACACAATATAAAGATAAAGTGTAGAAATAAAATAGTATATTTTTACTACATTCTAACTATTATTAGTAGAGAAAAGTCTAAACGCGCGTAGAATTTTAACCTATTTATACTCTAATTTTAGATAAACAGTATCGCTCTCCTAACTAGAACTTAACAACTAGTAGACTAAATCCCTTAGAATTTTACAAGCTCTCTAACAAAGCTAGTCTAAGACAGTTTCTAGATTCTTAGAGTTCTTAGACAACATCTAGTTAAGCTGCAGACATGAGGGCGATCGCAATGTCCCTAGCCTACCGTCTACTAGACTACAGCTTAACAACTAGTAGACTAAATCTTCTAGAATTTTGCAGGCTCTCTAACAGAGCCTGTATTAGATGCGTCTTAAATTGTAATAATAATGTGTTATGTGGTTATAAAGTCGCGTTAGAATATAGTTGTAGAGTTATTGTAATGTTCTGCGTAGGACTTAGTAACGCAATACGTTGCTAAATCTTGTTAGTAATAGGCGACAAAATCATGTTAGAATATAGCTAGAGACTGTCTCTATTACCTATTTAAATCTAACCTAGTTTAGATGTATAGTAATTCCTAGTTAAGTTAATGTATAGTAGAGGAGGTTTGTGATCACATATCACTTAAATAATCACACAAGTCCTGTAGACAGCTAGATAGAGAAAGCGTTTTTAAGCTCCTGATTAGCTAGCCTTATCAGCTAAGGAGCTAGTAGGGGCCCCCCTTATATTAGTTGCAGTGTTCTCAGAGGCTCCGAGCTTCTCTGTAGAGTCCTCTAAGCACCTGGGATAACTGATTTTAACACCTATAAAATGCTCACCCTCTTGTCGCTAAGTGTTACAACCACTGATTAGGCCAGAGGAACATGCGGGTCTCCAACCCCACGGAGGAAGGACGGATCGAAGCTGGTGAGGGCACGGCCCACAGAGGTCACGTCACGTGATGCTCTAAATCAGGTATAGAGTAATTGTAGAACTTAGCAGGTGATCGCGGGCTTAGCTTGCAACTACTGTGCAAGACTTGCAATTAAGGTAGTTATAAGTAAAGAGTAATTGTAATGCTTAGCAAGTGATTGCAAGCTTAGCTTACATCTACTGTGCATGTGACGGTGCTGCTTGTCAAGCTCCGCTGCTAGTCACATGATCTCGCTAAGGGTTAAGCGAGCGCGCTAGCGCCTTGGCGCCGCGCAAGCTTTTCTCTCGCGAAAACCCTTCGCCTCCTTCACTCCCTATCCTAGTTTAGCTGAAATAGAGCCGACCTACTCTACCTTGCTTCCCTAGCTCTATACAGTAGTAGAGACAGTGCTTGTCATCACAGTGCAAGACTTACAACTACTCTAAGGTATATAGTCTTAACCTTCTATCTCTAGTAGAGGGTTGTAGTTATTCTTTAACACTAGACATAGTCTTAGGTATAGTAATATATTTAATATCCTTTCTAATTAGAAGTGTGCAAAGACTATTCTTTATTTATAATAGTATAAATATATTAGTTATCTTACTTGTTTATTACTTTTTTTTTAACTTTATTCTTACTTTACTTCTTCTTATTAATACCTCTATCTTACTTTTGCTCTATAAGGATTACATAAAGGACTGTACACCCTCTAAGCACTGTTATAGGTTAAGGTATAAGAAAAACATACCTTCTTCTAAACTCTCTCTCTCTTCTCTTCTATCTCTACTCTCTAAAGACCTGTTACTAGCAGAAGTCACCTAGTAATAGAAAAATTAAAGTAAGGTATTATAATAATAACTACTAGCCTAAGTAATAGAACAACCTAGTTCTTGCTATTTCCCCCTTAATAACATTATAAAAGAGGTAGTAAAAGAGGATCTTTCTCTAGAAACACTAACGCGTAGTAAACAAAAGTTAGTAGAATAGTAATGTAAAGCTTGTAACTAGTAGAACTATAAGAAGCAATAAATAAAAATAACATAGTAAAAAAATAACTAGATTAGTAAACTCTAGATAGCTCTTAAAGCTATTAGGTAGACTAAAAATAAAAAGAAGTATATGTAAACACATAAGCATATTTCACTCTCTTAAATTATAAAATTTATAAAAAACCTTGCAAAGCTTAGACTATTATATATAAAATGTAAAATGTATATAAGATACAATGTAAGCGTATTTTAAATAGAACAAGATTAAATTTTATAAATAAGCATCTACTTTATTAAAAAACTATTAGTGTAGTTTAAAGCGTATAGTAAAGATTAAATTTATAAAAAAAAAACTTTAAGTAAAAAAACTACTAGAATATTCTTTAGCTTTAACAACTTTAGAAAAACACTAACTAAGTGTTATAATACTTACTTACTAGCTATGTGCTAATAAGAACGTGTTTGTTTAGTACGCAGTCTGTTAAGCGTAGGATTATTTAAAGAGGTTAGAGAAAGAGGTAGTTGGATTAGAGGGTGTACTGTTCTATAATATAACTACAAAGGGCAATAGAGGTTCTTAGGTAGACTTATTACAGTTTGCTTTATTCTGTTATATAAGAGAGTAGAGGAAACAATCTTAAAAAGATAGTAATTAGAGTAAATATATAGTGTAAGATATTTAATAGTATAACGTCCTTGTAAACTATTATACTACTTAGTCTATGTAAAGATAAGACTAAACATTAATCACAACCTTTCTATAATAGTTAGGATTAAGATTATATACATAGGTTCTAACTGTAATAGCCACAGTAACTGCAAATCTACTCTGTAGGTGTTACAGTCACTGCAGGCGCTTTCCTTTGTTAGGACATTCTTATAGAATAGAGCATACTCTAGATATTAATCCTAGTTGCTGTTACGATATTTACTTACTAGTCACGTGTTTGTAGAGACGTAAGGTTAGGTACGTGGGCCGAGGAGAGATGATGACGCGGGTTGAAGATAAGCAACGTCTTTAGGGTGTACAGTCCCTTAGCGTGGCTTAATAGGGCGATAGAGGTAGTTTAGGCCTATTGTAGTTTATCCCTTAGTGCTGTATAAAGAGTAGGAAAACAATCTTGTTAAGATAATAATTAAAGTGTGTATAACTATAGTGTAAGATATATAAAAGTAATAATGTCTTTAAAAACAGTTATAGCTACTTAGTCTTATTATAAAGATAAAACTAAACTTTAATTATAACCCTTCTAATAGTAGTTAAGATTAAGACTATATACTTGTTGCAGTAACTGTTCTAACTGTAGTAACTGTAAACCTATTCTACAGTTGCTACAGTTATTACAGTTAGCTACACCTAATTAGTATAGCACAATCTAAGCGTTCTAGCTAGGCCGCGCTAAGCCTAATACTGTGTAGCTAAGAGGTATGTCTACTAATAGTAATTATACAACTCTAAGGCTGTCTAGCACTTGCTTACAGCTTATCTTAAGTTGTACCACATAGCCTTTTCTCTCTAGCAGCGTTCTTACTGCTTGTAACATTTACTATAAGTGTTAGAGGTTTTCTATATCTAGTAAGCACCTTTATATAAATTTATTTCTTATGTCTATTTTTTTTTATTTCTAACTATGCTTTTATTTTCTTAAAAGCTTTATTGCAAGTGCGCTGCTTCCTACCTTAATTCTCTTTGTTATAAGAAGATGCGTCTATATAGTCTTTACTATAAGGCTTCTATGCCTTGTGTTCTTTTATTGTTATTAAATAACTATATAGAGTGTGTATAAAAGAAGAGTTAGTGTAACGCCTTTGTTTCTAACTAGGCGTAGGTACTGCTGTGTTGTCTAGCTGCTAGTTTATACAACTTTTGTCCGAATAGTGATATTCGGGCGCCTGGTTGATAGTCACGTGGCTCGGATGCGCCCGGATCCCTGTGCACGGAGATCTGTGCGCAGAGTTTTAGACTATATCAACCCCTTTCCTTTATACAATAGAAACAATAAGAAGCAATTAACACTAGTTACCTAACCCCCCTGTGCGATGTTTACACCGTGCAAACCTCTCTGTCTTGTACGCATTTGCTAACACTAAGTGCTAGCTAGCAGAGAGTCTATTTAACACTAATTAGTAGTTTAAATACTGTAAGAGAGGAAGCTCTTCTTGTACCTTTCTGTTTAGAGGTTTATATATAAGAAGAATTCTTTTCCTTACTACTTTAACTATAAATTAGCAAGAGTAAAGACAGAGTCTAATTTACATGTAAGTAGCTATAAATCTCTATTTAGTTACCTAAGCAAGAGCAAGAAACTTGTCTATATAATACTGTTTAGAGGTATTATACAAATAGTAGTGCTTATTTAACGCTAGGAGGTCTGTTTTATCTTTTCGCACAAGGCTGTTTAGAGGCAGCGTACAACAAGAAGTAAGACAGCGCGCGACAACGCATAATCAACTACTATAGAGCAACAAGCAACGCTAGCTCTATCTATAACTAGCTAACATAACATATTAACATATAACTAATACATACCTCTTGTAGGCATCTTAGCAAAGACCCTAGCAGAGTAGACAAACATTAAAGATTAGGTAGATAAGATTAAACTATTAAACAACACACCTAAAAAGAAGCTTAATTTATACACAGCTAACTTAATTATAGAACTCCACGCGTTAAGTGTAACAGACATACATACACTTAAGAACTTTTAGAACAACTTTATAAGGTAAAAGCTTATACACTTTAGAGATCTTAGCTAACTATTTCTATAAAAACTAATTACTACTTTGTAGAACAAGAGCATTAGCTTTAAAAAGAACATAATAGAGGCTACTACACTATATAGACTTATAAAAAAAGAACACACGTTTACTGTTTTACTAGAGCATTATATAAAACTATTACTACTATTACTAGTCTTAACGCAACAGAGGATGTCTCTGTATAAATTACCTGCAGACTTAATACTTCCTCTGTAATTAGTACAACCACCTTGCAATAGCTTACTGTACAAGAGCACAACTAGGCAGCTACATGTTCCTGTAGCCACAGCTCCACATGAGATTCCCTAAAGCTTGTACCCACTGCATACAATTTAATTACTATATAATCTATACTAACTTCTACCTACACAAGATATTACAGCAAAGAACCTTGCGCCTAAGAAGGTTGTATAATTTTAGAAGGCATAGAGGAAGAAGAACAACTACATAAGGCAACTATATAATATTCTAGCTAATAAGGCTATAGTATTTATTAAGCTCTGCTAACACCTTGCTATCCCTAAGGCATTATATGCAAGCATCTTTCCTAATATTCTTAAAAGGCGCGCACACATGTTCTACCTTTACAATATTAGTCTAGGATAATTATAGAAGTTACTATACAAGCAGCTTAGCAATTACTTTAATACTAACATAAACTATAACTAGTATTAGACAGATTAGACAATAATAAGCTTTACATAAAGTAAGCAGAAAAACTTTATAAAAACTCTACATAAAGCTTTTAAAGCTATAATTAATAAACTTACTCTTACATAAAAAGCTCTTAGTCTATAATTCTAAGGTAAGATACTGCTTTACACTACTATTATATAAGTATGCTAAGGGCAACTTAAACTTAAATAAGCAATGTTCTTAATTAAGCCTACATGTAAGGCACTGTACAGTGACCTCTGTTTAGCACTTTAGGTTATAATTAATTAACAGAACAATGCATTTATAAACAAATTCTAGGACGTGTACTACACTAATAGGTAATATAGCTTACTACGTACATATAGCTATTAACAACATAGAAGAAGCTTAAGAGAATATAGAGGATTATTTAGACTACAGTCCTCTGTATAATTAAAGCAATGCTTTGTCTATTATAAAGAAAGATGTTAGTTAATAAATTATTCTTACATAGATTAATTTTATGCAAAACGCTAATATATCTCTTTATATAAAGAATTCTATAACAAGACACTAACATATAAAAAGGTAAATATGTACATTTAAAAGTTTAAAAGCAAACTAGAGTAGAAGAAAAAGAAGTTGCACAATAATAATAACCTAGATAAAAAGAAAAGTAAGAAGATTATTAACTACCTTACTAATGCTACATTTCTCTACTGCGTGACTGCAGAGGACATCTACAGCCTAGAACCTAAAGGATACGCAGAACAGTTTATCCTTAAAGATTAATACTGTACAGTATACTAAGGTGAACTATAGGATACTAGCGCAGTAAGAATCTTTACTATAGGGAAGCTATAACTTAAAGCATACCTGTAAGAATTCTTTTATATAAAAGTAGACTAAACACTAAAAAAAAAGAGTATTAGCTTTAAAAAATAAAAATTAATAAAATTA